GAACTCCTGAATATGTTGAAGATCACAAGGATAATCTCACCCTAGTAGGAGCTGTGTACATTTAGTCAGAAAGTGATTATGGCTTTTTGCCACTTCATATTTCGAGTTTAAATATGTATTGCAAGCAGATTTCAAATAAAGTAGAAGAAACTTTTTATTTTGTAATCTACTCAAGATATAGAAATTGCAGAAAATAATTAACAGTGAAATGACAGTGAAAATGGCTACTTTTACTACCCATACTAGATTCTAAAGCAGTTGCTTCAGAAGGCAACTGCTTTAAATGCAGGAAGTATGACAACCAGATGAGATATCAAATCGATTTTCAAAATACCATTTGAAATACCCAGGATCAAATTAATTCCTTGGCTAATCTTATGCAATAGATGGATTTACAAAAGGATTGTATTCAGCAAGCTGAGAACCAGTTTAAAAATTCTACAAGTAGCCTAATAAAAAGCACAATTTGTACTCTCTTCCCTTTAACAAACTGGTTTTTTCTCTTGTGTCATGCCTACTTTCACATGCATTTCACGTTGGAAATTTACACGTCAAGCTCATTTTTTTCCCCCATGAACTAAGTAGGAGCAACCTTCTTTTTTTGGCAGCTTTCCTCTAAAGAGAAAATATTTGCAAATATGACCTCCTCTCTTATATCTGTGAAGCAACTATGACCTCTTGTGGTTATCTAATCTACCCCTAAATCCTCAATAATGGGATTTACGGCTCTGAGCCCTTAAGTAATTCCCAGAGGGTTCAAGTCTGTGCTTCAGTGCTTTGTTAAACTAGGGCAAAGAAAAATACAATTTTTTTCATGAAGATAGAGCTGCATTCTCTTTTCCTAATAAATACTTCAAGACATTTACAATTGCAAAATTGAGGCACTAAAAGGATTTAATCATGTTAATTCGGTCTCTTTCTGATGAATAAGGATGTTTGACCACGCACTTTTCACCCAAATTTAATTCCAACAGTATCTTACACAGTTATTGCAAGCCCTCACAAGATTATTTCATTGAGCAGACAGAAAAAGACCACACCAGTACTACTGCTTGTTTGGTGAGGTCTCATTAAGTATCTAATATCCTTATTTAATAGCTTCTCTGGAAGTCTTCTCACCCTACCCCAACACCTCCCCATCACAAAAAAGCAAGGTCATGTGATTAAAAGCCCCAGGAAATGATAGAATCATAGAATCATTTAGCTTGGAAAAAACCTCAAAGATCATCAAGTCTGACTGTTAAGCTGTCACTGACAAGTCCACCACTAAATGACATCCCTAAGTCCACCACTAACCACACATTTTTACCTTTAAGAATGGTGACTACACCACTTTCCTAGACAGCCTGTTCCATCATGACCACCCTTTCAGTGAAGCAGCTTTTTCTCATATCCAATCTAAACCTCCCCTAGCACAACCTGAGGCCATTTCCTCTTGTCCTGTTCCTTGTTAGCAGAGTAAAGAGATCAATCCCCACCTCACTACAACCTCCTTTCAGGTACTTGTAATAAATCCCCTCTGAGCTTCCTTTTCTCCAGACTAAACAACTCCAGCTCCCTCAGCTGCTCCTCATAGACTTGTGCTCCAGACCCTACACCAGCTCACTTGCCCTTCTCTGGACATGCTGCAGCACCTCAGTGTTCTTATAGTGAGGAGCCCAAAACTGAATGCAGGGTTTGAGGCATGACATCACCAGTGCTGAGTACAGGGGGACAATCAATGCCCTGGTCCTGCTGGTCACATTCTTTTTGATTTTGGTAAGGCTTTTAATACTGTCCCTCAGAGCATCCTTCTGAACAAGAGTTGCCCTACTGTGGGGTATGCAGGTTCATGGTGGTCTGGGTGAAAAACTGGCTGAAGGACAGAGCTCTAGTGAATGGAGCTACATCTGTCTAGGGGGCAACTGGCACCAGCTGAAGGATACCAGTGGTATTCTTTGTGGTTCAATTCCAGAGCCTGTTCTGTTCAGTATATTTATCAACAATCAGTATGCAAGAATTGAGTGCAGCATTAGCAAGTTTGCTGATGGTATCAAACTGGGAGATGTTCCTGACTCTTGATGGACAAGAGGCCTTGGAGAGGGATTTACGTAGATTGAAGCATTGGGCTACAACAGGATGAAATTTTCCAAGTTGGAATGCCAAATTCTACATCTAGGATGGAATAAGGTCAGACGCAGGTATATATTGGGAGAGTGGCTGGAAAGCAGCCCTGCAGACAGGGACCTGATTGCTAGCAGGCTTAGTGGGAATCAGCAGTATGCCCTGGCATCTTGGGATGCATCAAACACAGCATCACCAGCTGGTCAGTGGAGAAGAAGGTGCTGAGCTCTTCTCTCAGGTATCCAGTGACAGGACATGTGGGAATGGTTTAGAGCTGCACCAGGGAAGGTTTAGTCTGGATATTAGGAAATATTTCTTGGCTGAGAGGGTGGTCAAACACTGGAACAAACTTCCTAGAGAGGTGGTTAATGCCCCAAGCCTGACAGTATTTAAGTATTTAAGAGGCATTTGGACAATGTCCTTATGTCTTGGTTTTGGAAGTCAGGTGTCTGCTAGGGAGGGCGGGAGCCTCCCTTGGAATGAAAAATGTAGACTCCCTCCCTCCGAATTATTATGATTCTGAAATCAAGGGGCTCTCAGGCAGAGCTCTGGGGATAGGAATAACAGTTCTTTACTAGTATGTATAACAAGGCAAACAAAAAACAATAACTACAGCATTAGCAAGAAAACAGAACCAGGGACCCTGTGACAGCTTTCTCGGCCGAGACTGGAAGGGATGGAGGAGAGGCTTTGCTTCACAAACCCCCTCGGGCAGTCAGTCCCGGTGCTCCTGCAGGGCTCTGAGGAACAGCCGGCTGGAACAGCAGGGATGAGCTGAGATCCCAGGCTGGTGGATGAGGTGTATCAGCAGCTCCGCGGCGGTGCCTGGCACTGCCACATGTCCCGGCAGGACAGGGGCTGCAAGGCCACCAACGAAGAGGGAAGGAGGAGAAGAAGCAGCAGCTCTGTCTGGGTGATGGCGAAATTCCCTTCTCCCCACCGCAACAGCTCTGTGCCCAAAGTGTCCTTTTCTGAAGCTGAAGAAGCCGCCAAATTGTCCCCACCCTCCCCTTTTCCTGCCCCCTTCACCCCTCGGGCCAGCCAAACTCTTCGTGTTCTTCAAGTACCCACCAAGTACCCGCAGTTAGGTTTTCCCCCAACTAATGGGTAAAAATTCCACAGGCAAGCCAGAACTAAAAGAAGGACACCTAACCCCCAACACCTTAGTACCAGGCTTTAACGTGGCCGGCCATGAACTGGTCAGGCAGTTATATTACAGGCTCATTGTAAGTTCCTTCCATATGAAATAATCTATTTTATCAAATTTATGTTCCCCAAATCTTAGAAGTTCTTAACCCATCAAGTTTTTCCTTGCTTGTTCCCATCTGAAAGATGAACAAAATAACAAGGAAAATAGAGAATGATAACTGGGCTGCTGAGCTGCACAAGAATTATTTCATTCTAATAGTGCTGTCAATAAAAGTTCCCCTTTTCCCCATCTGACCCAGGATTCATTTTAAGCAATTTGTTCTGTTGAAACTAGGTTTCAGAATTAGCCAAAAATACTAAGATACCCAGAACATTTTTCCACCCAAGTTATATATAGCCTGTATTGTACAATCTTTGTGGTTCTTCAAAACCTGAATTTCAAATGAGCTATTAGGAAATACCAGCATATGCACTGATGCCAACTAACGCTTGCACCTGTCTCTCAAGGCAGTGTTAAAAAATATCCTTAACTACAGCAATTTAAGCACTGCTTACTGCCTTGCTCTTAAAAAAGAACCTCACAGAAGCATCTCAAGATGGACAAAGGACAGCTCACGACTAAGTCTTCAGAAGGTGCCCCATTGAATCATTCACTGAAGTGACCTGCACTTCAGGATTGCATCCCACTGGAAGGTACCTTCACCTGCAATGTGCAGACATGGTGCAGAAGGAAGCCACGAGTTGTCATTGAAAATTGAACAGTTGCAGAGCATCAGCAACCTGTGATGGAAGGGATGAATATGCCATGACCAATGTCCATTAATCTAAGGCAAAGGATGTGGAAGTTTGACAGTGTGGTTGAACATTAGAAGTGAAGTATGCTATGAGCAAATTAATCACCATTCTGATTGCATGCAGCCGCAGAGCTAGCAATCTGACTCCTTAAAGCTGTTATGTGAAAGGGCAGATTAGGTTTTAAGAGTGACTTATGTAAGTTTTATGTTGCATTCTCCTATGGCTCCTTCTAGCCCAGTACTCTTAGTATCAGGAAAGAGTAAACATACAGTGATAGTTTCCCAGGATACTTACAGTTTTACCTTTTATCCAAAACCTAAACTAATGATGCTAGATAAGGAAAACATGATGAAAGGCTAGGTAAGTTGTCATAAACCTTTTGCCTATAAACTGATTTTGCCAGCATGACTCATCTTTGACAACACATAGAGTCAGAAGGAAAACAGACAACAGCCTCCAGCAGCAACTACATGGCAGTTCTAATGTTTGCTTGTTTCTATTCCTGGTTTCATCCTTTTTACCTCTTTGCATTTCTTAAAAACGAGATTCACTTAATAAATTATAAAAAGAATTTAATATAAACAAAAGACAATTAGGAGACAAAAGAAATAAAGAAAAGGGTTAAAACGGCCGGGTAACACACCTGGTATCTCAGGAACACTCCTTTTATCCCATCCTTGCTGTGAGGGGTTAATGCATATTCAAGCATGTCCCCTCCCTGGTTCCACCTTCTTGGATCATGTTATTTTCTGCTGGTCACCATAATTTTTGCTGGTCATCATTATTCTAGCTGGTCAGCATTATTTTGGAGTTTTGGTTTCCTTTTTGCTGCACATGGTCACTTGTTGATAACAGCCTGGGCCCCTCATCCTTCCCCTGAGGGCAGCTGGTCTTCATATCTTCTGATAACAGTTTGGGTTCTATTGTTCTCCTGATAACAACTTGGGCCCCAGTGTCCTTGCCCTCTGGGGTTTCTTTGCCTTGTACCTAGGAAATCTTTTTTAAACCTAAGACTTGTTAGCAAAAAAGTACATACATAGCTAAAAAGTATTTAATATATAATATTCATCTGCGAAAGCCAATATCACAATACAAATTTATAACACATTGATCTATGGAATCAGATAGCAGCAGTGAGTTCATCACCTGAACATTTTATGGTTAAACCTTAACTCATAGACTCATGGACTTCTGTCTTATGGAAAGTATCTCTCAAGCTGTCAAATTTTCTATATTTTTTTCAGCACACATCTTTAGGCAGAATTGCAGTATTTATTTTGGTAGTACACAGATAGGCAACCCACATTTTACAATAGGCAGAAGTTTCAGAGTGTGAGGATACCCAGAAAGCAAGATTAGGGATGTAAGCACTAACAGCAACCAGCTGTCTGCTCACTGTGCAGCTCTTTAGGCTGCTAGAGCCCAACCGGTACACAACCTCTGCCCCCAGGGAAGTCAAACGTGAAGTAACAGTATCAAACTTCCACAAACTTTATTAAAGGTTACTTCAACAGGTGATTTTTAAAGTATTATAAGAACATCATCAGTGAACATCAGCACACTGCTACACTCTAAATGGTGTGTTAATTATATTAGTATACTTATTGTAAGAATAAACTGTTGCAGCCACTGGCCAAAACCAGGGATATTATTTTTCAAATTATGCAGGCAGGATTCCATGTAAACCAGAGTTCTTAATTCTACTGCTGCATTTTTTGTGCAGACTTTCACTTGTGCATCCAGGCTGTTTCCATTTTAACAACACTGAGAAGCTGTCTCTGGGAAGTGCTTCACAGAAAGCATTTGTGACAATTTATTCAGAAGTACCTGCCAGTTATTTTTCCAGCAGTACAGAGTAGAAGACAAGACAGTTTAATTCCACAATATCAGGTACACAACAAGGTACCCAAAATCAGACTACGTCAGTCACTTACTTCCATTAGAAGTAGGATTCAGGCCAAGGAATCAGAGTAATTTAATCTCCAAGCCTAGAGAACTATCAGTGCAAGGAAAGCAGGCATGGCAGCTCATACCAAGAGAACAGAACAATGACTGCAATTCTGTGTACCTTGGAGCCTAGTGTGGGTAGTTCTGGTTAATTATTTCCACTGTTTCTGTTACATGTTCTAGCCAGTACCTTCGGGAGTGCTGGTGGGAATTTTCAGCTCTACCTTTTTCATACAGTTAAGAGTTAACACTGACTGATATTTGATCTGAAATGAAATAACATAATTTTTAAGGGCAAAAGGCCAAACTAAGATAAGAAAGTAACTGAGAGAAACCTGTGCTATAAAAAGCTTACTACATAGTCCAGGTTAGGGCTTTGAGGAGTTACTACAGGCAGTCATATCTATGACATGAGAAGTTAGCATATATGCAAGCACAAGTCATACATAACTATGTAAAACATATCTATGCCCATTATGAAGGATCATAGCCATTGTGTTACTTTCTTCTCTCAAAAGGCTCTTAATTCTCCTGCTAGTCACATATTAACCAGCACCAGGGCCAGCACCAGCAAAATCAGATTTTTGTGATTACTTGGGCTGTTCCCTCATTTTCAGCTCTGCTTTTACCAGAAGCTGTTTCCCAGTGCTGGATGCCTATATTTGTACCTATTTCTACACTTGTGCAAGGGGCAGAAAGAACAAAGAACATAATGCACAAGCTGACCTGGCTCCTGCTTAAGTCACAGTAGCCTCAGGTTGTTCCAAGTTTGATCAAGAACAGCTAATACACCTTTAAAAAAAAAAAAAGCACATTAAACCTGCTGCTATTATTGGGTAGTAACTACCTTTTAAAATGTGTCTACACAAGGTTCTATCAGCCTTGCCTGCAGTTTCTTTCCAGCTAGAACAAAGCCACAACATTTACACGGTTCAACAACTGTCACGTTCTAGTCATGTTGACCTTCTCTGAGAGAATGCCCTGAAGTTTCTCTTGGTTAAATTTTTGTCCCCAACCAGAATACCTTTGAAGTTTACCTGTGTATCCAAGACACTGAAGGACACTGTACTAGTAAAAGAGACAGTCTGAGACACAGTGGCAGCCATGCATGACTTGATGCATGAACTGTCTGATTCAAATGCCTACAGACTAGAGCATGACCCCAACTCTATTATTTGACAAAAAAACCTGTCTATTTAAAAAAGTGAACTGGAGCACTACTTTTTGTCATTATGATGCTCAATGAACCAAAAGGTTTCACCTTAAAATATTACATGCACTAAAAAGAGTGCACCCTAATTTCCAGGCTTGGCTAGGGAAGGGAAAAGATTGTTGCAAAGACAAAACTAACAGACAGATCACACTAACCCTTGTTTTTTCTTTTTTTTTTACTCCTGTACTTTGGTATTTGAATTGTTAAATATAAAAGTGAACGGACAGTGAAATAGCTGAGACACTTATCATCTCAGCTGTGGAGAATATGCAAACAGCAGACTACTGTAAAATGACCAAAGTATATATTTTACATAAAAGGAGATGTGGATGTCCTATCCTAACAAAGCTGGGCTGGGGCTCTGAGCAACCTGGTCTAATGCAAGGTTTCTCTAGAACAAGATGATCTTTAAGGTACCTTCCAATCCAAACCATTCTATGATTCTATTTTCTCTCCCACTACCCCAGTAAATGCAACTAACTTTTCTTTAGCCTATACTGGCCTTGCACTGTTGTCACCATTCCTGTATAGGTATACATCTGTATATATGTCAGAGTAGGAACCACACAACCAGATCAGTGCCTGAGAGGCAGCACAAACCCAAAGAGCAATAGTCTTACTGAGCTTCGGGTTATCTATCACATCATGTACATTTCAGGAACAAGTATAAGATTAAAATAGTCATCAAGAGGAGTGCTCATTGGCTGAAGTATTTTGATTTCTCCAAAAGGTCAGTTGTGCTTCTCAGCCACTTTTACAGTTGGTAAGAGCTACAGGATAAACATTTTGGAAAGCAGGCCAGTTTCCTTCCCATGTCTGCAGATAACAAGCTCTGTACCTACCTTTCTGTTACCATTGTTCTCTCAAATACATCCTGTTCTGATACTGACAAACCAACAGATAAGAATCTCTGGGAAAAATGTTGTCTGACAAAGACTAAGTACATTGCTTGGCTAATATCCACATTACCTCAGAGGGAATATTTTGGGCTATCTGAGGCCCTGAGATGGCTCTCTAAGGAAACACAGGGAGAACTCCATGGGCTACAATTCTGCTTGTTTGTTCAACAGCTTAAAGTGCACCTGAGCAAGCAAGACAACCAAACCTAACACAGAAGTCAAAACATTATTAAAATGTCCATGCTGGTGAAATGTGAAAGAGAAATAGTTCATGCAATACCCTCTGCCTCTGCTCAGAAAATTAACAGCTGCATATGAAGCAACTCCTTAATTTAGCGTGCATGGTTCTTACAAAAGATCCAGAAGCTACCCAACAATAAGCTTATTTTCCACAAAAAAGCTCTTATCTCAGATAAAATTTCACATTTATTCTGAAGATATAAGGTGAAAGCAGAACCTGAACAAATGTTTGCTGCAAAGATCAGCAACAGTCTTAAGGTAAACTGGAGTTCAAAGTACAAAGAATGAAGTGCCTGACCGGAGCCTAAGAACCATACAAATGAAATATCTGTAAGTCTTTACCCTGAATCAGTAATATTTGATTCATTAGTTAGGTACTGTAATTGGAGGGCAATTATACAAACTCACCAATATGAAAAAACAGTTGCATCACTGAAACTTTACTGTAGTCAAACAGAAGTTATCAAAATAATAAAAAATGGTGACATCACAGGACCATAAGGAAGAATAAACTATTCAAATGTGTTCTTGTGAGAAGACTCAAAGCAAATCCATCTAGGAGCATGGGTCTGCAGGGGTTTGAAATATATTTTTACTAGCTTTCCCAAGACACACTTATAAATGTTTTGAGAGCCTCTATATGACTCTAACTTCCCTGTGCAATTGTTCTGGAACTGTTCTACCACAGGTGAAATGCTCATAGGAAATTCTCCCTGAAACCACATGCTGACAAGGAAACAAACCAAGGAAATTCTTCTACCTAGAAATACTACTGGGAAAGAAAAAACAGAAACCAGAACCAAAACCAACCAACCAAAACCAAAACAAACAAATAAACAAAAAAAGACAGGGAGAATAATTGTAAACAATAACTTGGAGGAACCTTTTACCTTGTAAGAAGCTTTGTTCTTCCAAGAAGCCTTGGAAGAACCACCTTGTTCACCTCTTCAGAGCTGAGGAAAACAAACTTGGCACAATTGAGTTTGGAAATCAGAATTATACTCAATGTAAGTTGTGGTTCCCCCAGCAAGTACATCCCATCCCTTCTCCTCCTGTGAAAGGAAGGAAGCATTCCAATACACTCAAAAAGCATTGCTGTTCCCTTCCCTGAATTGGGTTAATTCAATGACAGAAACAATTTATATTTTATATTGCTGAAAAGCAATGTTTGGACACTTGTTAAAGACTAGGTAAGTCTAATGACTAAATCATCCCACCAGAAACAAAGTCAGTATTGAACTACAACTAATTAATTTTCAGATTATTACATATAGAATAAAGCAAGTGCATGAAAAAAGGCAGAATGGAGTAAGTTAATCACTTGGTAAGTCCAGTAGATGCCTTCTAGCAAATTGCTCCTCAGCACTTTGCTCCTGTCTCCAAAGCAAAGCAGATGCCAATAGAAATACACAGGACCTTTATACATTAGAAATGTTTTTCTTAAATAATCCCATATTTATGCCATTAGTAAAGGAGGTTCAGATAAATAGATCATTTAATAGAGATGCTTTTGCCTGTGTGAATAAAAGTAAGACCAAGTTAACATGAACTTTAAGCACTGAACTTCCCAGCAGAGTCCAGAGTCTTGCACATGTACAACACATACAATGAACTTGCCTTCAGGATGTAAACAGAGGGCACTCTTGTCTCAACTGATTACCTTTGGAGTAATTACTTTCATTAGCAGTCTCATTGGACATTACCCATTGTTATTTAACCAGTAAGCTTTAATGCAATACAGTCCCAAGACCTTCCCAAAGTGAGTTATTATTTCACTTATAGATGATTGGGGAACAACAGCTGTGTGATTCATACACCATTCTAATTCCTACTGACTTTAGGACAAAAAATGAAACCGAATAATTCAGATGTGACCCAAAAAAGGATTTAAAATGCTGAACTATAGGTGGGCATGACCCCCCTGCCCCAAAATGCAGTAAAGTAAGCCTCACCATTGACTATTCCATGACCAAAAAATTATCCTTAATCCTGGAGTGCTTCTGCCAGTTTCCAAGTTCTTCACTGACATGAAGGACTGGGAAAAAAAATGCAGACATACATCAGGTTCCGCACTTTGGGGTAAAAGCTTATCATTACCACTGACCTGCTGGAAAGCAGCTCTTCAGAGAAAGACCTGGGGGTCCTCGTGGACAACAAGCTGTCCATGAGCCCAGGCAGTGCCCCTGTGGCCGAGAGCACCAGTGGTGTCCTGGGGAAGAGCATTGTCAGCAGATTGAGGGGGTTGATTCTGCTCCTCTACTCAGCCCTGGTGGGACTGCATCAGAAGTGGTGTGTTCAGTTCTTTATTCCTCAGTACAAGAGACGTGGAGCTCCTGGAGCAACCAGAGGAGTGCAACAAGGATGAATAGTCAACCGGAGCATCTTTCTTATGAGGAAAGGCTGAGGTAGCTGTTCAGCCTCGAGTGTGGGCTTCTTCAATGTCTATCAGTATCTGAAGGGAGGGTGTCAGAGAATGGAGCCAGGCTCTGCTTGGTGGTGCTAAGCAACAGGACAAGAGGCAATGGGAATAACTTGATGCACGGGAAGTTCCAACTCCACACGAGGAAAAACTGTATTGTGTGGGTGACCATGCACTGGAACAGGTTGCCCAGGGAAGTTGTGGAGTCTCCCTCATTTGAGATATTCAAGAATCATCTGGATGGGATCCTGTGTCATGTGCTGTAGGATGAGTTTGGACCAGCTGACCCGCTGCGGTTCCTTCCAACCTCAGCCGTTCTGGGATATTGCGATTTGCAAAACAAGGCAAGACCTAGGACGGGGCGCCGCAATTAACTTGGGGAAGAAAGAAACAGCACTACTTACTTCGGTTTTTTACCACTTACTTACCCGCTTTCCCGCTGCGCAGCTCTCCACACGCCTGCGCGGGGCCCGTGGGCGGCCCGCCTGTGTGAGGG